TTTTTTTTGGTGAATGTTCCTCTTCCTGTCTGGGGAGCAGAAATGTTCCCCACAGATGTGCTTCACCGAACAGTTCCAGATGTTTCTCAGACCAGCCCAGGCCGTCTTGGTGGGGGTTGTTCTTCTTTCGTCTGGAGGGCCGCTCACAACCAAGGCCTGAGATCAGCCATGAGCATGAGAGCTGACGCAGAGCTTCTGCCTTTTTTTTCCTGTTGAGTCATGCATTTTTGTCCCAGCGTCCCCTCAAGGCCAGCGCTAATTACAGGACCCATACCTCCCCCCACTTCTCACTGCAGCCCAGCTCTGAGCGGTTTGTTTTTAACGGGTCTTCGACCAAACTTTAGACCTAACGAAGCGATTTGATGAAATTTACTAACACAGATTTCAGACGTTAGATAGAGAGAGTGTAGGATGCTGTTAGAGCGATGAGACGTAAAGGCAACTTAAAGGAAACTGAGCTGAGGAGAGCTTGTGGTCAGATGATTGCAGAGTGGCTTCTGAATGTAGGGAAGAGAAAAAAGAGAGAAGAGGGACTGAGGTAGATGTTGGGTGAAGCAAAGGAGGAAAGTGCATAGAAAATGTTTATAGGGTTAGGAAAGCAGAGCTGGGACCGAGCAGGGTGGTTTGGTGGATTTAAGGGGGCACGAATCATGTGACCAGAGCTTCAAAGGCGGCGCTGTGACAGACCATGACTCAAACATGCGTAATATGTGTAAAAAAAAAAATCACAGAAAGTCATCGGGGGGAGGGGATCTATCGGTTCGTAGACTGAGTAGGGGAGGGGTGTTGCAGAGAGAAACTCTAAACGTGGAAGTAAGGCCTGTTATTTAGGTACAGCATGATGTGACTGCAAAAGCCCCGGCAATCTCAAAATTAGACCCCAGATGAGAAAATATTTATTCTTTCATCTTGCTTTATTTATTTTAGGACTCGTACACGACCTTCGTGGTGTAATATGTCCACAGAAAGGTCAAGGTTGTGAAGGAAGCTTTTCTCAAACCTTCTCAAGACGAAATTGTATTTTATTCCTTCTGTGAGGAACATTTACACGGTTACTAAGTGTGACGGTGAGACCTTAACCGCTCCATTTTTAGTCGATCTAAATACAGTATGTCAGGTTTTTTCTGACCTCCAAGTCGTCCAAGCCCCAATGTGTGAAACGTAATCCACCGGGACCCTGCTGGTTTAAAGTCGGGTTAGTTTGGCCACATAGTTAACCATTAAACCTGAATCAATGTTAACCCTCTCTGCTTAGCACAGATAATAATAATAATAATTAAAAAAAAATCCCACATGGGTGACTGATGTGTCACACGCTCCCCGAGTTTCACTGTGAGTCAGCGTGGAGGCCTCGAAGCTGAAGCCGCCACTGTGGCCGTCGGCACAGCAGGCGGGGGGCAGCTGGGCTCGGACACGACAGGGGCGGCGATGTGAGTTGGCATTCCTCACGCATGCCCGTCCTACAAGTGCCAGTGAGCCTTTCTTTTGTGTGTTTGCATGTGTTTGTGTGTGCTTCCTCTCCTCCCCATTGTGACCTGCATTGACCCCCACAAGCACACATTCACTGCAACATTATACGAAGCATTCCTGCTCTCTCCTGCTCAGCATTACATCTATAGCTCTTGAATGCACTAGTTCATTTTGTTTTAGTCTGTTTTTTATGATTATTCATTGTGATTCTTTGAAAAACTGTGAAGAGAATAAAGGCAAAGAATGTTTGGAAAACACGCCGTGTTCCTCGTTTCTTCTCGCTGTAGGAAAAAAGACAAATGTTTACTTGTTTCTGTCCTCCGCCCTCCCGTCATCCCTCGCTCTCCATAACTCATGAGCAGGAGACGAAGAAGCCTTCAGTGTCAGACACGATGGAGTCCACATAATGAGGTTAAATTGCTGTCGGTTTGGAGCCTGAGATGATTTATTGACGCTTTCTAAACGTTTAATTACAGAATTTAATTCTTGAAATATCTGTAGACCAGTATTCCAGCTGTTACCACCCCTCCCATTCCCTCTCGTTAAAAAAAACCAACTGGGAAATTTTTCAGTCGTTTCAGCTGGAACACTGCATGCACTGCTCCAACCAGCTCAACTCAAACTGTGAGAAGCATGTTGACTGTTGTTTCTCACTTAGCTTGGCTTAATTTTAGTTTTTATCTTTTTTAATTATATATTTATTTTGTTTATTGATTTCATTGTATGCTTAAAGTATGGTTTTTAACTGCTATCTCTGTTTTATTATTGGAAAGCACTTTGGTCAACTTGTTGTTTTTAAAAGTGCTATATAAATAAAGTTGGATTGGATTAATTTTAGTTACATAAAATGTAACTAAGATTACATTTTGACAAAAATAAAAATAGTTGTTGTAGTTTAAACTGAGGAGTTTACTGAAAGTGTTTGGATTGTAATGCTTGCTCTATACTTCTTATATATTCTGACCCTGATACTAATAATAATAATAATAATCTAACACCAGAGCTGTCATTTTAAGTAGAAAGGAGAAAAAAATCAAGTGTAAGGAAACATTTTTAAGCAGAAACTAAACGGGAACAAACAAAATTACTCTGGAAGTGCTCTGAAACACAAAGCATTATGTAACTCAAGTGTGAACACTTTAAAACCTTATTGTTACAGTGTTCTTTCAGTGCCACATCGCTTACACTTATGTTTCTGCTTTAAAACCGCTGTAGCAATTTTAGCCCCTGCTTCAGTCAAATAGACTGAGGCTATCGGTCATCGGTCAGGAATGCCCATTATCTGCCCAGAAGTGTCTGCAGCTGTGATATCGAATCAAACAAGGACGTATGTGCAAGCGACTGAACTGATACGCCCAGCTCTCACCCCCCCACACTCTGAGGCAACGCTAAAGAAGGTCTTGGCGTTTTCAGATGTGCATTTGATAAAGTTTTGTTCTTCCCCTGGTTTAAGCCAATCCAGTCCAGGCCCTTTGCAGTCCCATTACAGCCGACGTCCTGCGGATTTATGCTGGCTGAGATTCTGTTAACATGTGAAGAGAAATATTCCACTAT